GCTGTAGAGATCTATGGGTTTTTCCAAATGCATAATGTCATATATTTACTGTTGCGGTGTCATACAGAATAGTTTCACTGCCCTAAAAAATCCCCGATGCTCCACATGCTTATCCCTTTCTCCCTCCCTCCCTCCTGAAACCCTGGCTACCTCTGACTTTTTTTCCCATTACCTCAACCATTTATTATTTCTTTGTGTTGGGAACATTCAAAATCCTCTCTGCTAGCTAATTGATAGTATACAATAAATTGTCATTAATTAGTCATGCTACAGTGCTATAGAACTATTTCTCCTGTCTAGTTGTACTTTTGTATCCTTTAACCTACTTCTCACTACCCCCCCTCCTACCCTTTCCAGCCTCTGGTAACCGCCATTCTACTCTCTATTTCTATGTGATCAACTTTCTTAGCCTCCACATAGGAATGAGAACATGAGAAACTTGAGAGTAGGTAAGTGGTTGGAAATGAACAATATATGGAATTAAAAGAGGCTTTTCTAATAGGAGCTGACAACATTGTAGAATTGTGGAATGATCACTTGAACATGTATTGTGAATTTAGGTGTAAGAATCTAGTACAAAATCTGAGCAAAAAAATGTAATATCAAATTTTCTTTGCTAGCATATTGACTTCTATGTGTATTTTACCTACTACAGAAAATTCATGTTTGTAAGCATACAATCGACGTTACTGCATAAAATGTGAGTAGCAGAGGATAACAATAATCATTCACAGACAGAATTGTTTGAGATAAATAAAGACAAAAGTTAATAAGAGTGCTTGAACCGTGTTGAGTAGTCAGGTGCTTGCTTGCATTCTTCTAGAAAAGAGAAACAAGAAAGGAAGAAAATATAAAAACATATTTAAAAATTAGAGTTCAAAAGTTATGACTGTGTAACAACCTGCACATGGATGCATATAGTATCTTCATTCATAATTGCCAAAACGTGGAAGCAACCAAGATGTCCTTCAGCAGATGAATAGATAAAAACTATTTCTCCTGTCTAGTTGTACTTTTGTATCCTTTAACCTACTTCTCACTACCCCCCCTCCTACCCTTTCCAGCCTCTGGTAACCGCCATTCTACTCTCTATTTCTATGTGATCAACTTTCTTAGCCTCCACATAGGAATGAGAACATGAGAAACTTGAGAGTAGGTAAGTGGTTGGAAATGAACAATATATGGAATTAAAAGAGGCTTTTCTAATAGGAGCTGACAACATTGTAGAATTGTGGAATGATCACTTGAACATGTATTGTGAATTTAGGTGTAAGAATCTAGTACAAAATCTGAGCAAAAAAATGTAATATCAAATTTTCTTTGCTAGCATATTGACTTCTATGTGTATTTTACCTACTACAGAAAATTCATGTTTGTAAGCATACAATCGACGTTACTGCATAAAATGTGAGTAGCAGAGGATAACAATAATCATTCACAGACAGAATTGTTTGAGATAAATAAAGACAAAAGTTAATAAGAGTGCTTGAACCGTGTTGAGTAGTCAGGTGCTTGCTTGCATTCTTCTAGAAAAGAGAAACAAGAAAGGAAGAAAATATAAAAACATATTTAAAAATTAGAGTTCAAAAGTTATGACTGTGTAACAACCTGCACATGGATGCATATAGTATCTTCATTCATAATTGCCAAAACGTGGAAGCAACCAAGATGTCCTTCAGCAGATGAATAGATAAACAAACTGGTACATCCAGACAATGAGATATTATTCAGCACTAAAAAGAAATGAGCTATCAAGCCATAGAAAGACATGGAGGAAACTTAAATGTATATTACTAAGTGAAAGAAGCTTGTCTGAAAAGGTTATGTACTGTATGATTCCAACTATGTGACATTCTGGAAAATGCAAAACTATGGAGACAGTAAAAAGATCGGTGGTTTCCAGAGGTTGGGAGGGTGCAAGGATGAATAGGCAGAGCACAGAGGATTTTTTGGGCAGTTATAATATTCTGTATGGAGCTCTAATGGTGTATACATGCCATTTTGTCNCAGAGTAATATTCTATTGTGTATATGTATTAGTCCGTTTCTGTTGCTTCTAACAAAATACTTGGAACTAGGTATTTTATAAAGAAAATAAAATTTATTGCTTATAGTTTCAGAGGCTGGAATGTCCAAAGTCCAGGGAACATATCTGGTGAGGGTCTTTGGTAGTGGCTTTACAGCAACACAGGAGTCTCACATAACAGAAAATCGTGGAGCAGAGGGAGACAGAGAGAGAGAGAGAAAGTGAGCCCCTCATGCCCTCTCCTTTTAAAGCTCTCAGAACCACACCCATGACCACCATTAAACCATCAACTTAATCACCTCTTCAAGGCCCTGCCTTTCAATTATCATAATAAGATTTTCTACCCTCTTAACACTTTCACAGTGGGGACCAAGTCTCCAACACATTAAACTTTGGGGAGACACAATTCAATCCATAATATTTATTNCTCCCACTTATGAGTGAGGACATGCAGTATTTTTCCCTCTGTGCCTGGCTTATTCACTTAACGTATTTTCTCCAAGCTCATCTGTGTTGCTGTGAATGGCAGAATTTCATTCTTTTTATGGCTGAGTAGTATTCCATTGTGTATATATACCACATTTTCCCCAGTCATCCATCAATGGACATTTAGGTTGATTCCATGCCTTGGCTGTTGTAAATAAAGCTGCGATAAACATGGGAGTGCAGGTATCCTTTAAACATGATGATTTTCATTCCTGGGGGAATATATCCAAAAGTAGGATTGTTGGATTGTATGATAGCTCTATCTGTAGTTTTCTGAGAAACCTCCATATTGTTTTCCATAATGGCTGCGCTAATTTAGAGTCCCATCAACAGTGTATAAGGGTTCTCCTTTCTTCACATCCTCACCAACATTTGTTATTCTCTTTTTGATACTAGCCAGTCTAACTGAGGTTATATAATATCTTCTTGTGGTTTTGATATGCATTTCCCTGATGATTAGTGATGTTCAGCATGTTTTCATGTACCTGTTGGCCATTTGTATGTCTTTCTTTGAGAAATACCTATTCAGCTCC